CCACAAAGCAGTCATAGGCCATGACAGAAAGAAGAATGCATTCAATGCCACCCACAGACAGGAACACAAAGAGTTGTATGACACAACCAATACAAATGATGGCCTTTTGTGGGCCCCAGAGGTTGACCAGCATCTGAGGAATGCTGCTAGAGGTGTAACAGAGATCCAGGAGGGACAGGTTGCAGAGGAAGAAGTACATAGGTGTGTGCAGTCGAGGGTCCACCAGGGACAGGAAGATGATGGACGAGTTGCCCGTGATAGCCAGAAAGTAAAACACCATGTTAGTGAAAAACAAGACCATCCCCAGCTTTGGCTGGTCAGAGAACCCAAGCAGAATGAAGTTTCCAGAGCTCTCATTATTTCTTTCCATCACACTTGGCTTGATAAACCTGTTTAGGGAGGTTAACATGTGTGGTGTTACTCATACAGAAAATGATGCACCTCATTTTTGTCCCAAGAAAATAGGTTTTTTCCACCTATTTAACTGGTCCACTTGCCTGACCATTGCCTGGAATTATAGGGCAAGGAGCTAAAAATATTTGTCTGTAAAGTGATGGAAGTTGTATAGTGATGGAAGCAATATTGCCTCAATATCTTCTAATCTGGTTAAGTGAAATAAGTGGATAGATCCTTTAAAAAAAAAACTTTTACTGATATAATGAGCAACAAAGTAATTTGGGGGAAAAACAAATAATTTTCTCAGAATCCATTGACTTTGAGTGCATTTCTGCTAACTGACAAATTACTCCCTAAAATTTGTGGAACAATAGCTTAACTTAATATAATCAGTTCTCATGTTTCCATGATTATAAACTCAACTGAAAAACAAAAAATGTATTGATGACTTACCATATGGTAGGCCCTGCAGGTATAAGTATAGACAGTACCTCTGTACAAAATATTTAAATTACTTCTGTAGTCAGGAAAGTAATAGCCTGGGGACCCTTGAAATAAGAAAGCCCTGAATTTACTTGATTCTGAATAGTTAATGATTTGGTCCTACCTCTTGACCCAGTGATTAAGGTAACATTAAGCAAAAGAACAAAAGTGGATGTGATTGCACAGAGTGGATGTGATTGCACAGGATTTTCTTCCCTTCCATGTGCATTCACAAAATGAGCAGAAAATGAGGGATGTCTTTTGCACATTCCAGCTCAACATAACACTATGCCCAGAGGTCAACTAAAAGGAAATAAGAATCATTGTGCAGGTTTATTTTTGCAGCAGGTTTGGGAGTTTTGGGGAGGCCGGAGTTGGGTTTCCTGTCAACCTGCATTGCTTCAATAAGAATTTGACTATTTACATTATTGAACAGACACCAATCAAATACTTGACTTGCAAACTCCTCTAAAATTCAGAAATTAACAGAAAAAGATGTATGTCCTCCATGTCAATAATTAAATTCTAGCTGTATGGACTCAGTTTCCTGCCATCAACTTGTTTGGGGTTCACAAACTACTGGAGAAGTTAAAATATGGAGTAAATGGAGAGTCTATGAATGCAAGCCTATGGATCCCACAGCTCTGCTGTCTACCTGTGGGGATGTCCACCTGTGGTCCAATCATAATCGGTCATAGACTCTAAACTCAGGAAGAAGTTATGGTCTGAGGTGAAGCCATATAGAAAGACCAATTCCAGCCAGAGTTTTTAAAAAATCAGCTTGAAAACTGTAGAAAACTTAAGATATGGCTTGGGAACTAAGTTATGAGTACAGCATATCTGCAGATCTTGTACTGAAAATGCACACAAAGAGCTAAAGTACATCAGCATGAATTGCAAATTTGGAAATTATAACATGAATACAAGGGATTTTTTTTCTTTTTTTGGTAGAAAATTCTTTACATTGAATATTTTTAAAATAAAAAGTTAAATTTAAAAAACACTTTGTGGGGCGCCTGGGTGGCGCAGTCGGTTAAGCATCCGACTTCAGCCAGGTCACGATCTTGCGGTCCGTGAGTTCGAGCCCCGCGTCGGGCTCTGGGCTGATGGCTCAGAGCCTGGAGCCTGTTTCCAATTCTGTGTCTCCCTCTCTCTCTGCCCCTACCCCGTTCATGCTCTGTCTCTCTCTGTCCCAAAAATAAATAAATGTTGAAAAAAAAATTTAATAAAAAACACTTTGTAATGAGATGTAATTTTTGATTTGTAATCACCACACCTAAAGGGATGACACTTTTATTTTTCTTTCTTATTTTTGGCTGAAGAGCGATGCCCTAAACACAAAGGCCTGTCATCTATTCAGTGAATTACTTTCAAACAATTCATCCCAAAAGCAATACATGTTTGTTACAGAAAAATAAGAAAGCAAAGACCATTAAAGAAAAAAAATAATTCCTTAATCCCATGTACCCATAGACAATAATTATTTACAAACTTACATATGTATGTGTGTATGTGTGTGTGTGTGTGGATAAGAACACATAAGGCCTACTCTCTAAACATAAGGAATCATTCAATACTTCCCCATGTGTTAACTACTTGTTTTGCTCCAGGCCTGGAGTCTGATATCTTAGAGATACTAAGCCAAATACATGATCTCAACAGATCACAGTAATTAACTATATGGAATTTAGAAAAGAGAAAGTGGAGGCTTAATCATGCACATGAGGATATGCATTTTCAGAAATATGAAAGCCACTTCTTAGTGGTCCTGTGTCATTGGCATGGCAGATCTTATTGTAGATAACAAACACATCTGTCTTGGACATTCAATATTCCTTGGATCATCTAACAATCCTTACACAATCCACCCTGATCTGCCATCCTTGATTTCTGCCTAATGGCCTGAATGTCATACCCTAAATACCAATATTGTTCCCTCTACTGGTAAGTAACATTCAGTCTTGTCAACTATCTGTGGGTTTGGTTAGCAAGAGTACACTTGCTTGACTCAATCACTGTTGGGTCAACTGAACATTAGGCCTATGACCACAAAAAGTTGTTGGACCCAAAGTGACCATTCCTTTTCATAATGAAACAATATTTTAAAGGTGTATTTATAAACTTGCAACAGAGCAAGAGAGTCTCTACCATTAGCTCTACACAAGAGAATTTTCCATCTGTATAATCACTCTGGCAAAAGTTTAGAGAGGTTTTACCCATTTCACAAGCCCTCATCATTAACTCTTTCCATATAGCTGCCTTATCTGTGGGTAATGGTGTAGAGGATGGGGTGAGACAATTACATGGGGAGGAGAAAGACATTTATGAACTTAGAAGTAAGACATCTGGAAGGGAGATAATCTGCACATTTTCCAGATGACAGGGTGTTTCATAAGGAGCCCCAGAATTGTCAGACCTTTGTTATAATGGATTGGGCATTGAAAATGGGGCTGAGTACACGTGACCTGAGGTGAGTCACCACACCCTAGAGATCACATAGTTAAGAAAGCTCCCTTAAGTGAATTGCAGATCTCTGTGTCTCCATTTCCTCTACCATAGAACAGAGTTAACAATGCCAGACATGTTTGTTAGGACTTTTAGAATACCATATTAGCTTGTACTGCTTTTTCTGAACGCTCTCAAGCTTCTTGAAATTGATGTTCAAACAGAGACTACTAAATACTGACAAAAGTGTGTAGAAATATAGGAGGTTTATTACACATCTGAAAAATATATTTGCCTAACCATACACATTCCTGATTATCTGTTACAGCAATGGTCTATTAGTCAGATCTATGAGACTTCAATAGGATTTAAACACCTTTGTCCCAGGATCTGAAATGTAGATCAAAACTCCTCATGGACCTGAGTATGATCATGAGAACTGGTTTTCTCTTATAAGGAAATATTAATGACTATATCACAGGGTTTTCAGAGAATTCCTTAAAATACTTGTATTTAAAGGCACTCAAGTGTTTTATTTCAATGAAAATCAGAATATTTGTTACGAAAAAGTAACAAAATTATTCCTAAATATAAGACTCATGCTAAACATACAAAAACATCTGTATTCTAGAACATTGTTCTGGGAGCCCATGATCTCACATGAAATACATCTGCCAACAAATCTTTTTAGGTAACAACTTTCTCTCACCACAGCACTATTTTCCATGTTTACTAACCTGCATCAAGTTCTCAGAAGAAACGAT